CGGCTTTTAAGCTGGCTCCCCACAAGCCCCTGCTTTCAGGGATGTGCATCTACCAGGGCTTTCAAAACCAGGTGCCTGACTCACACTGAAATTAATGAGTTAAGCTGCTAGACACTTTTAAAAATCCCAATGCACACCCATCAGCGGCTAAAGAGCTTTACAAATTTGGCCCTAAGTGACTTGCCCAGGGTCAGACAGAAAATCCATAGTGGAGCAGGGAACTGCATCCAGATCTCCAAAGTCCCAGGCTAATGTATAGTGATGTTCAAGCTTTATTATAAATGAGACTCAGGCCTTAATGAACCATGCCTTATAACATCCCCATCAGGCGAGGGAGTGCTTCTCTATTTTACAGAGAAGAACATAAGAACGGCCATACTGGGTCAGACCAAAGGTCTATGTAGCCCAGTATCCTGTCTGCCGACAGCAGCCAATACCAGACGCCCCAGAGGGGCAATACCAGATGCCCTGTCATCTACTTCCAGACAAACAGGTTAGGGACACCATTCCTACCCATCCTGGCTAACAGCCATTGATGGACCTAACCTCCATGAATTTATCTAGCTCTTTTATGAACCCTGTTAAAGTTCTACCCTTCTAGTCTTCCTTCTAGATGTGGAAACTGAGGTTCAAGTTACTTGTTGAAGGCCACATAGCAAATCTGAGAGCGAGAGAGCTGGGCGCAGAAATGAGATTTCTTGTTTCTAGTTCCTTTTTCTAAGTCAGGAGTCCTCAAGAGGGGGAGGCTGCAAACAAGCGTTGGTATTATGATCGCAATGCCCTCTCTCCAGACGGTTAAACAGAGCGGTCCCAACCAGATTCCATCTAGCTGGGAAAGGGTTCTGTGAGGAAGGGCTGGGTCACGCTGTGGATAATGAGAACCACAGCACCAACCCCTTTGTCACTTGCATAAGTCGAGTCAATGCTACTTGCACCTATTTTTTCTGTATTTTAACATGAATATGTGTAATGATTGAATCATTTCACAATGGACATAATGCAGTCTTCTGTCTTTTGAATTTTGTGCATCAGCAACACATTTCTTATTCATATTAGGTTTGGGGTTTTTTTTTTTTTAAACAAAAATGAAAAGCTTTGGGCCTTAACGGTGGCCTTTTAAAATACTGTTGCTAGGCCCTTTTATAAACCCAAATGTTCATCCTACTGCCCAGTCTACCATCCCGCCCACTCCATCTAACTTGTCTCTCTGACAACCCAGACATAAGGCAGAAGGAAGGAAGCTTACTGTGTGCTATGGGGAAAATCGAGCAAGTGCGTCATGGTGACAAAGGGATGGTTTAGTGTTTCAATTGGAGTTATCCTCTTATCCGCATCTATAGTCAACATCTTCTTTAACAGATCTATAAACTCCCGCCGGTCTGCCTTTTCCACCAACATATCACTTCCTTCTAAATCTGTTGTCATATTCACCTGGGAGAGAAAGGACAAAGACAACAGTTAAAAGGGACAAGCAGATGCTCAGGTCTCCAAGAGATCATCTCTCTCGATTCCACCATGTGTGTGTCTGCCGAAGAGCAGCTGCTGAGGTCACAAGGAAGAATCTGAGCTGGCAAAGTCAAATTGCCATCAGGCTAAGTGCAAGAAATGTCTCTGTACAGGCTGCTAAGTATCTAGCTTGTTTAGGTCAATGGCCATGGAAGATCTTAGTTGTCCTTTCCAGCTTTTTATCAGCTTCTGTGTGATAATAGACAAGCTCTGACAAACATAACGTATCATATAAAGCACCATATATTTTGTGCCTTGCTGCAAAAACAGCAAAAAACACAAACGAAAAAGATAGCAGTAAGTTTATGGAGAACAGCACTATTTATAGATCAGGGGCCAGGAAAAGCTTTCATAATAAAATCTTTCCTGATCTGAAGTCTCACTTTCTACACTTTAGCTAATGAAGCTAAAATATCCAGTATTATCTTACATGTACTCTAGATCAAAACTATCATGGGCCATTTTGTTGTCATGAACTTTCGTAGCCCCATACCAACTTCACTGTTACAACAACAAAACAATCAAATAATAAGCACTTTTTCTTTACAGGTAGCAATGTGCTTTCTAAAGTAGGTAAACATCCTCCTCCTCATTTTACAGATAAGGGAATTTAAGGCATAGAGAAGTTAACTGACTCAGCCAAGGTCAAATAGGAAGTTAGTGGCAGAGCTAGGAATAGACCCTAGCACTTGTAAAACTCCTAATTACTAAGCCACACTGTTTGATGCAACTTTCATGACTATATATGGCCTTATGTGTAGGGAGCCAATGCAACACATGATAACTGGGAGTTGGCTGGACTGATGAAGACCTGGTGTTTCTCAGGGGTTTGCCCAAAGCAGCATATATGTAGAAATGATTTCATGCCCCATTTGTTTGCCTTGCGCAGATGCACAAGGAAAGATCTCGCTAGTTACTCACCAACATTCTTACCTGTGCCATATCATCTAAACAGTTGAAAATGTACTTCCTTGCTTCCTTCGACTTAATCCCTGTTTCTGCCTCATGATCATCTGGTGTCTGCTCAAGACAGGGGAAAGGGAGTTAGCTGAGCTGCCCTTGCATCTATGTAGGCTGATAAACCAGCTTAGATGGATACCTCAAAGTCCACCCCATAGAGTCAAAGCCAGAGGCCTAGTTGATTTCCATATTTGGGGAGGCAACTCCAGTCATCCAATGGAGACCCGTATGGGGGAAAAAGAGGGGATCCTATGCTTAACTGAAGCTTGCAGTTTGGGGGGAGAGGCAATGCATCCCATAACGCCCCCCTCCCCAAGTACACCACGCACAAAGCCACCTGTCTCTTACATGAACAGGTAACCTAAATAGTAGCGGAATGTATTTATATAGCACCTCACACCTAAAGAATCTCAAAGTGCTTTACTAACCAAGACCGTCCCACTCAGATGCAGTGGAGCAGAACATGTTGCTACCACTGATCCTGGAACCTTTTTCGTACTATTATCTATTTTAATTGTTAACATGGAAATGTGTATGTGAACTTGGGAGGTATTAAAAACAAATTCCACCCAGCAGCAGGTTAAATTAAACCTTATTGCATCAACTATCCTCCATAGAGTGTGAAGATATAAACAAAAGCCCTAAATGGATAGGATAGTAGTCGCTCGCTAAGAGTATGTCTGCATTGAAAAAACAGACACACGGGGCTTGAACTACACAGGGCTCAGAATAGCAGCACAAACGTTCTCACTTGTGCACTCAGGTTCTGAGACCCTCCTCCTCCCCACATTTCAGAGCTGGACTCCAGCCCGAGTGGAAACACCTACACTGGTATTTTTAGCCCCAGAGCACAAGCCCAACTCAGTGGACCCATTTTCAGAGACTTGCCTCCATGGGCTTTTCTCTGCACTGCAGACATGCCCTTCATTAAACTAAAACTGCCCCAGTCTGGGCAGCTCCTTACTGGAGAGATTTTAAGATTCATTTTGGACTTAAAGCTTCTACCATGCAGAGCCAGGCACTAATTGCAAAGCCATTGCGCAGCCAATAGCTGAATTCTTTCCTTACAACAGTTTTACCTCAGCTCAAACCCATTCTAACAACTCAGTTTTGGGAAGTGTCTCAATGCATTGTGAAGAGATTCACACTCTGACTTAAGAGAATTTGGCCTCACTTCTAGTCAACTATTGCAAAATGAAGAACACAAGGAAATGTCTGCCTACCTTTAGCCTCCACAATGGATACGGCGAGTCTGTATCCCTGTTGAAAAATCTTGTTGTCTTTGTCCCTGAACTTAACAAATACTCTGCTGGTAAACCCTGTGTCTGTGAAATATAGCGAATCTGTAAGAGAAGGATGAAAGGTCACCTATGAAGATAGGTGGTGATCTTCCTTTCTAGAGGGCAGGAGGCATTTAAAATAATGGAACAAAGAAAGAGAGAGAAAGGTGGTATCAAATTGGGCGTTATCAAGGATATACTAAAAGGAATGAAAGAAAGAGAATTCCCATGGACTTCAATGGCATTTCCACCTTTATTATTAATGTCTTAGGACATTTACTCTGAAAGTCTATAAAACATTCTTCCTGGGAATTCCTCCCTTTATCTTCAGACTTTAAAGGTAAAAGACAATGCCCACACACTTTAATGGTGTGATTTTATTGAATTGCAGCTTTTCATGGCAAGTTCTCTTCTCTATAAGGTATGTAATTTCAATAATGTGGTGGTATTTCTCTTATTTTCTTTGGAGCAGTTCAAGGGATAAAGTGGATGATGCAAATCTCTGTGAACTGAAGCAGCCTATGTACTGAAGCAAATTTACACCATCACTTGGTGATGTGTACTAAATCTGCAGTGTTTATATAGCTTACTGCATTTGTCATGTCAATAACTTTCATGGATCCTGCCTAGCTGGCATACACAGAACAATGGGATGCTATGCATATGTGTCTAAGAGTGGAGAATTATTTTTTCATTTACTAGAGAAAAAGTATGTGAGCATGTAATTCAAGGCTGACATAATGTTGACATAGGGTGGCACATAAAACTTTAACTTCATCATTTCCTGACTTTTTGATTGCTTCACTTTGAAAACTTAATATTCTTCTAATGCAGGAAATGCCACAGACAAAACGCTAGATATTTTTTAAAAGAAAAGATGGAAAGAAAAGAGAAAAACCTAAGTAGCAGCTGCCGCCTTGGGGACTTCAAAACACTGATGGCCCTAGTCCATGCAAAATGCATGCCCCTGCTATGGAGTGCCTTAGGTACACCAGAGCCAGGCTCCCCCCTGCACACCTTGCACACATTGATAGCCCCTTTTCAGCCCACTCCCAACCTAACAAATCCACAGAGTCTGAGGCAAAGACTAAGCTTCAGTGCTGCTCCATTTCACAAACTCAACAGGAGCCGTCAATATATTTGGCTAGAGCAGACTTTGCACTGCACAGCAAAGTCAGCTTTACACGTGAGTGGTGTGCCCTTCCTCAACTATCCACTTTGTCAATTTATCTCTGTCTATGTTTAGACTGCAGGGTTCTTTCGGAAGAAGTTTTCCCGAAGAGATCTTCCAGAAAAACTTCTTCCGAAAGAGAGCATCCACACAGCAAAAGCGCATTGAAAAAGCGATCAATCCACAGTGAATGGACGTTATCTCGCATTTAAGCTGATTACTTTGGACGGAGTGGCCACCAAGGCACCTGTGCTTTTTCCTGGAGACCTCTTCTTTCGAAAAAACTCCTACTTCCACGTCCACACACACCTTTTTCTGAAAGAGCTCTTTCAGAAAAAGGTTTCTTCCTCGTAGAATGAGGTTTACTGCTGTTGGAAAAATCCCTCCATTCTTTTGACTTTCTGTTGAAAGCATGCAATTACAGTGTGGACATAAGTGTAGTTTTTCCGGAAAAACTCTGCAGTGTAGACATACCCTCTGGAGGGAAGTCTACTTTTAGTGCTTAGTAAGAGTACGTTTACACAAGCAACCTTATTTCAACATAACTAGCGTTATTTTGAAATAACAGTCCGCATCTACGCAGCAGGCTGTTATTTTGAAATAATGTCAAAATACTGTCAAGCTGGATGACTTCTTACTCTGACTCCTGGAACCCTCATTGTACGAGGAGTAAGGGAAGTCAGAGGAAGAGTGCTTTATTTTGAAGTTAAGTGCTGTGTAGACGCTCCCAATTTCGAAATAAGCTACTCAACTGACGTAGCTCAATTTGCATAGCTTATTTCGAGTTGAGTTAAGCCCTGCAGTGTAGACTCACCCATGTGACTTGCAAAGGCACAGAACTGATTTCCTCTGGAACAGCTAAAGGCACTGAATTTCAGTGAGGGCTATTTCCATGCCAGATTTCACCTTTAAAACCATGGCTGAAATATTAAAAAAACAAAACAAAAACAAACTCTCAGGAATGCTTTTATAATGGGAAAAATGTACTGTGTGCCTTCTTGCCACTTTCCCTTTCCCTTAGGCTTTCCCCCAAAAGATCAGTTTCACAGTTTCAGAAGGAACGAGCAACTGAAAAAAGGTGGTTAGAATCGAAACTATTATCTAAGCTTAGCTGTAGAGATTGCTGCATCACCTGTTATAGAGATAGGAACAGTAAAGTCTACGGCGCTGATCTTCAGTTAGCTGTGATAATTAAAGCTCAGTTGAATTCAAAGGACCTATGACAGTTGACACCAGTGGAGGACCTGCCCCAGAGACCATTCTCTTTCTTTTCATTGCTTTTAATAAACGTCCTCATTAGGGGATTATAAAAAGAAGCAGAGTCCATATAATTTCTTATATTATAACAAATAAATCTTCATTTAATACTTGCTGTTAAGTAGAGTTAGGATGGCAGCTCTGCTCAGTGATTAAAGATCATCTACAGAGCAATCAACAGGACCTTACACTCTTGATCGACAGTTCACTTAGGCAGGCAGCTCTTAAAGGCACAGTACTAAATATCTTATTGGTTACCTAGAACACTACAGGTGGATGAAAAAGCAGTCTTAGGATATTGAAAATCAAACACACACACATATCTTCCAACAGCAAAAAATAGCAAGTTTAGAATTTGTCCCTTCTGACACAAAAAGGAAAAAAGCTTCTATGTGTTTGTTAACAGCAACTGTAGCACCATACCAACCTGATCGTATTCTGAAGCCCCTGGGTATAAAGGCCAGCCCAAGAACAGCTCTGCAATGACACATCCCAGTGACCACATGTCAATTGCTTCACAGAATGGTAAACCAAGGATGATTTCAGGGGCTCTGCAAAAGAACAGATGAGAAAGCTTTTAACTGTTGTAAAACACACAGAGACATTTTTTAAGAACTCCATGTAAACATCCACCTTCAAGAAGCAACTTGCAGTGAATAAATTCTGCTGGTTCCACAAAGCCCAGGAACCATGCTACATATGTTAGAGTAATATCTACTGACCCCTTTTCTGTTAACCAACTACTAACACACACACACACACACACACACACACACACACACACACACACACACACACACACACACACAATCTTCATAGCTCTTATAACGCCACATACTGAGCTTTATACAGGAAACCCCCGAAATGAGACTGCTCGAGTTGCGACCCCCCCCACTTACAAAAATGGTTGTAAGAGCAGAAGGGGCCAAAACCCCCCGACTCATGTCCTCAGGTCGCATTTATGATGGCGCACGACACCAATCATAAATGAGGATTCGAGTTACAATGCCCCCGACTTGCGATGCTTTCCCAGGAACTGATCACATCGCAAGACGGGGGCTACCTGTATTTCACTTTTTGTCTATAGATTTGAATTTCCTTTACAAAAGAGAAAGTATCATTAACCACATTTTTCAGAGGGGAAATTGAGGCACAGTGGAGAAGTGACTTCCCCAAGGTCCTGCATCCTGAAATAGAATCTAGGTCATTCCCCGCCCCCCCCCCCTGGCCAGTGCTGATGGCATAGAATCCTAGGGCTGGAAGAGACCTCAGAAGGTCATCAATTCCAGCCCCCTGCCCAAAGCACGACCAATCCCAACTAAATCAACCCCGCCAGGGCTTTGTCAAGCCGAGACTTAAAAACTTGAGATGGAGATTCCACCACCTCCCTAGGTAACCCATTCCAGTACTTCACCACCCTCCTAGTGAAATAGTTTTTCCTAATATCCAACCTAGACCTCCCCCACCGTAACTTGAGACTATTGCTCCTTGTTCTGCCATCCGTCACTACTGAGAACAGCCTCTATCTTCTGTAGTGCTGGTTCTCTTTTATATAAGACCTTCCATGTACAAAACTAAAAGTGATTTACAAATATGTATGCATTAATTAAGCTTTCAATGGTCCTGTAAGGTAAAAAGCATTGTTGCTCTTACTTTACAGATGAATATATTGTAAAATAGAGAAATAACATGACCATTCCATGGCTACATGGAGTTATGGACAATGCCTGGAAGAGAACCCAGGAATCCTGGCTCCCAAGATAGGGTTGTAGACACAGGAAACATTTTCTATCTACTTTTAGCTAGGGAAGGGAGAAAGAAGATATTTCGAGTCCCCTTATCTGTCTCGCCAAATATGACTCTACGTTTGTTTCAAAAGATACTAACTGAAGCAAATCAGACTGCTGTACCGTATATTTTAGCATTCGCTCTGCTTAACAAACTGAAAGGAGGCACTAAAGTCTCTTATATCTGAGAATGTTTGATCCAATATTCAATTATTAACTTAAATTAAGATCTTAAGAGAAAAAGCCATCTACTATTTGCAAGGCTTCCATCCATCCAGGTCACCACTAGCAGAGACACCAACATAACAGGAGAAATGCGTTTCTTCCTGTTTTTAAAATACAGTCTTCCAGCATTAAAACTGAGGCCATTTGAAAAAAAGTTTCTTAGCTGTGTCTACACAGCAACATTATTTCGAAATAACTTAGTCCGCATCTACACAGCAGGCAGTTATTTCGAAATAATGTTGAAATACTGTGAAGCTGGAGGACTTCTTACTCCGACTTCTGTAACCCTCATTATATGAGGAGTAAGGGAAGTCGGAGGAAGAGTGCTCTATTTTGAAATAAGTCTGTGTAGACGCTCCCAATTTCAAAATAAGCTATATCGAAATAAGCTACGCAATTGATGTAGCTCAATTTGCATAGCTTATTTCAAGTTAAGCACTGGTGTGTAGACCAGGGGTGGGCATGAGGCTGCCAGTGGGACCCTTAAGCACCGTGCAGCGGCAGCCACTTTAAATGTGGCTGCTCTATTCTGGGAGCAAGAAGGGAGGCTTTGTGCTCTGCCCCGCCCCACACAAAATCTCTCCGCTCCCATTGGCCAGTTTCCGATCAATCGCAGCTGAGATATTTTGCTGGCAGCAGGGACAGCCAATGAACCCCTCCTTCACCAAAACTCCCCCTCAGACTCATCCCCCCTCCTGCACCCCAGACTCCTACCCCAGGCTCCCTTCTGCACCCAACCTCTGTCCAAGACCCCCAAACCCCCTCAGCAGAAATGCGGCCCTTGAGTACTTGCCAAAATCTTGGGGTGCCCCCCCCCATTACAAATTATTGCCCACCTCTGGTGTAGACACACCCTTACAGACCGCTAGTGTTCCAAAAATACTTTCATTTTTCTAGCAACATTAGTCCAAGGGCTTCAAAGCACTTTATAAACAATGAAAACTCACTACCCCTATGCTGCCTCAGCACCCCTGTGAAGCAGATCCGTATCATTCCCCCAATGTACACATAGGGGAAATTCAGGCACAGACATAGTATTGTCAACTCTTGTGATTTTTATTGTGAGTCTTGCAATTTTATCCTGAGTATTACACTACTAGATGTTACCTTTGAGCAGGGGTGGGGAACCTTAGGCCCGGGGGCCAGATGTGGCCCCCTGCTTGCCTGGATCTCACCCCTGAGGGTCAAGGCCCCTCCCTCCAGCACTGAGGAGCCTGTGCTGGTGCTCCAGCCACCCTCTCCCACTTCTCCATTGAGGAGCCAGAGCACACAAAATCTTGTATCTGTAGACTTTGATGTGCATCACTGAGCGGGTGTGTGTGGAGGGTGTGTGTGTGTGTGTTTTGGGTTTTTTTTTTTTTTTTTTTGTCTCGCTGAGTGAGCTCTCTGCAGCTACAGATTGGGACAAGCATGTCTCTCTCTCTCCAAGACACCATTCTTCATTTTCTGTAAGTAGGGTAAAGTTTAGGCAGTTTCGTTAGGTTTTATTGTTTTAAGGATTGGGTATGGGATCTGAGATCTGGCACTGTTTAAAAGATGTTTTGGCTTTTCTTTGTAACTAAGTTCTAGGCCCATGGAGTTTCTCCATGAGTATATTTTGTTACCTCCCTATCTAGTCATTATGGTTGCAACAGGAATATTGTTGTAATAATAAAAGTTCTTTCTTTTCTTTTTATTAACCTGGCAGTGGTTAATTGTGTGCCTTGATTTTTATTTTAGGGGTAAGATTTCCCAAATGATCTTTCCCCTGATTTCTTTATCAACATTTGGGTGGTGGCAGCGGAAGTTTTATTCCCAAGATCTAGGTTTTTAAGATCTTGGGGGGAAGTTTTATACCAAAGCCTGGTAGATAAGGCTTTGGGGTACACTTGCTGGCCCCCACTTCTGCATTTATCATGCCAGAGTGGGGAAGGAGCCATGACA